TTCTTCAAGACAATATTCATTAAAATACAATTCAGTTCAATTTGACAAAGACGATGGACATAAAAAACAAGTCTTATCCAAAACAGATAACTGAAAATTTTTAAAATGATCAGCTTTCCGTTTAGCATGGTCACGTTGTCGTCACATGGGCGACGCTTTCAAAACGTATTCCTAAAAATTTTAGATCCTAATAGAATTCTTTTCATTTTCTTTTTCATTCAAAATAATCAAAAATTTTTCCAATATTTGGCGCTGTCAGAAACACCGCAAGGTAATTTTACGTAGTCCTATGAAGTTTTGTTGAAATGGGTTGAAAAATGTAGGAAATCCGATCCAATACATAAACGAACAGACATACACACACACACACACACACACAACCTGGAGTTTATAATAAGTATGATGAAAACAAATCCCGCATTTAAATTAATTGCTGTTTGTGGTTTTCAAGAGGAGTAAAAAGAATAGTGCATCGTCTGTGAACTATGCCGACACGTTCATGCCGATGGGGTCCGAGCAGGTGACAGTTCATTCGAGAGATTTCGGCAATATTAGAATGGCTATAGGCTATACCTATACAGGAGACTGCGCTAGTTACATTATAACTAATGCAGTGATAAAATAACATCGTTAGATGGAGGGTTTCCCAGATTGATTTCTACAGCCAGAGTCGAATATTCTACGATTGAATCAATGGCCAGGTGTCCGTGAATAAGTGTAGCCTATAAAATACGGAATATTGGTTGTGGCCCGACCAGGAGTGGGAAGAGTTCCAACAGATGTAATTGCCGAAGACGCTAATCATGATTTAACAGCTCTCAGGCTTGGAAGCCAGTTATCTTGAAAGAATTGGTTAGGTACTCAAATGCACATCGATACTACAACTGGCCATGGGACTGATGAATATTAAACTAGTTATCCAAAATACCTATATAATTTGATACAGTGCGTTTTTATATTAGAAAATCAAATTTGTAAATATAAAAGTGGAAGTTAGGTAAGAGTTCATATAATCCTCATTGAGCTGGTTTCATTTCTAATGTAATTGTCGACAACTTAAACAGAGATTGATATCATATATTTCAATTTACTGGGTATCTTACATTAAACTTGCTTTATGTTTGCTCCTCACAATACAAAAATGAATTACTATTGTTATTATAGTTTAATTTTATCATCTAATATTCTTTTCTTCTGTGCTTTCAATGCTGAAATTTATCAGTCCAGAGATCATCAGGCCTGAACCTTACAATCCCATTTCTTCCCGATTTTATCAGAGTTTCATATGAAATCGAATTTCCTTTGTTAATATGTAAAGCATTTTTCCCAAACCTTTAGATTTTCCTTTTCTCTTGAGAATACAAACTTGCTGAATCATGTAGCTATTGTTCTCTCCCTTTAAATTCATTTGCTTTTCCTCATCTAGTCTTAAACATTCACTTCCAGTTCATTTTTTATTCTATCTTTCATTCTTAAATGAATGTGTCTTCTTTTAATTTGATTTCCGATAATATTTTGTTTAGAATGTTAATAAATATTCAGAATGAAAGGCATGATGATATTGAATCCGGTTACGATATTAAAGTATTTGTTGCGAGCCCATTAGATTTCAGTAACAATGGAATGGTGTCTTCATCTATTTAATGTATTACCATTATGTGGGATTATATATATATATATGTGTGTGTGTATGTATGTATGTATGTATGTGCGAGAGATATTTCTGTCACAAGCTTTATTTCAATTCTACGATAACACCGCAATTAAATTGATCCCTTCATTATGTAACTTTTTTTATTTCAATTTTTATTACAAGAAATCGGAGGTTTGCCTGATAATGGCTACCTTTTTTTTAGCAGTATATCTACTTTTTTAGGTCATTTATTGCCGAAATTTAATTTCTTGGGTGCATTAATAATTATTTTGACAAATATGTTGAGTGTATTTTTCTTATATTTTATATTATACTGTGTTGTCACCAGTTTGTCGTTTAACAGTGTGCCCAAAGCTGGGACTCTAACAGGTGCTACAACACCAGGTCTGAGTTGACTTCTGGATAACAGTAGTTAAGACGGAGGTTCCACGCTCATCAAAAGTATATGACTTAAAATTTCCAAAAATTCAGTTATAAACGCATTTCAGTTTTTTTTTTTTTAAATAATTTTTGTCTAATTGTATTTTCACAGGAGAATGTCACTTAAGATTGCGAACTGACACTAAAATGTGAATACGGAATATTACCCTTGACAGACTCCACCAGAACGTACGTACGTTTATCATGGAGATAATCAAACGATGTTAACTCATCTTTCTGTGGTACAACTGCATTCTAACTTGTTATTAAACCACATTTTATTTCCCATAAACAACCATTTTATACATACAAGCTCCCCAGTGAGTGACAAAAAGATATATTTTATTAATTAAAAGCGTTCGATATGAATCACTATCTAGGCGTAACCTATTTGTGAAACTGAAAATAGGAATGGAAAATCGAATAGAATGTAAAAATGCCTTACAGTCGTGTGTAATATAAAACGACCATTATCTAATTTATCTCTATGTTTGCTGCTCGGTTCCAAGATGTAATTAAATAAATGCTTCATATTATTCTAAAATATTTTGTCTAAATGTTATGCATACAATTTTGATATGTAGATAATTGCTTTATGTTGTTTTTTCTCTCTCGTCTAGAATTATTATTTTTTCTGAACAAACATGTTTTTCTTAAAAGCGAAAGAGTTTCATCCCATCGTCATTAGTTCATTACATCCTAGTTTGAATTCTTGTTTCATGTTTGACTATTTATGACATACAAACGGTAATATATTTTTCCTGATTTATGGCATATGGTTATTTATGCATAATTCGACAGGCTTTAAATCTAGTGAATTTATGTTGCACTGTAGATAATGATGCTAAATTTAATATCACAATAGTCCAATGTCAGTAGAGGAAAAACAAGCTAAATTTAACAATGTAATACATGAACTGATCTGGAAAGCTTCTTTAACATGTTTCCCCGAACAATCAAAATCACCTGTAAAAAGGTTTCAATAAAATTTGTATGAGCAATACAAAGTGACTTACCTTAACCAAATGATCTAATAATTTTTTCATTTTTTATTTAAATGTATAGGTTTTAACTTAAATTTTACTAATTTCAACATTATTTTTTATATAACACATTTATTTTAATGTTTCCACATTCCACGTTTTGTCAAAACGAATTTATTAATAACAAGTGAGAAACTGAAATTTTACTATATTTGAAAATTTTTTATGATGATGCAATTTTTTTACGACATTTATACATAATGTTTACTCTTATATAATTACATATTTTTTTTAATATTAAGTACCAATTTATAATTATACATTATTTTTTATTTTGTTCAAAAATTTAAAACACATTCCAAATGTGATATGTTTGGAAATTCTTCATTATTTATTTTTTAGTTCTGTGCAGATAGGTTAAATATTTGGTTGTAAATAAAATGTTTGAATAACAATCAAAAATAGAGTCACTGATAATCCTTAATGATCAAATTTAGCGAAACAGGTTCAAACATGATTATTAAAAGAAATCATCTAAAACTGCAAAAATATTCATAATTATGTATATCAGAAATATTTGAGTAATTTTATTTGTGGTGGAAAATATCTGAAATTATATAACAGTTTCATTTTTATACATAAGCGTCGAGTAGCGACGTTTCTAATAATATACGATGTTTGTTCGTTTGCCAATGTAATTTCTTATGCTAAATGTTAGTACATAAGGACCAAAAGCAAAATCCAAGTTAGATGTTTTAGAAAGCATTAATACTTCTTTGAGTCCAAAAGGTTTAGTCCTCCTCCTCAGTTTTTTAAGGACTTGAGCTTGAAGTCATTTTAAAAATTGGTGAGTTATTTTTGTTTTTTGGGTTTTTTTTTTAAATTTGAAAGTGATTTGGTTGACAGAAAGACTGAAAACTAAATACCAAAATTAAATTTCGTAAATCTTTTATATTTAATTTTCAACGTAGACATGAGCATCGGTGGTCTGCGCTTATTGGGAATGATTGTAATTCAAAGACAAGTGGAATGCAATATATTCAATGAGATGAATACATGGGCATCAAATTGGTGAGAGCTTTTGGAATATCACTTTTGGAAATTTATTTTTTGTGATATGAACACTGACACACATTTTATGTATGCAAGTCATTTATTTGCCTAGAAGTGTTCGATAGTCTGCCATGAAAAGAAAAAAAATGATATGAAGTTCATACGCGCACAATTGTAATAGTAGTCGTCCTGGAGACTATTCTGTCGTCTATCTAGAGTTCTGCCCTTATATAGTGGTAAGGTTATGCTAATTAGAATAAGCCGAGCCAATCCAACTACAAAAAGAATGTAATTAAATAATTAACATTACGGCCGTAGTCTTATCTAGAAGATTTGTTATATTTGTTTTTAATATATATTTAAGTGATTATATATGAAAGCAGGAATACAGGTTTCGCGCATAAAATATGTTTTCAAAATTAGTAAAAGGAATAATTAGTTACTGAGACTTAGAGTAACATTCTTTCCCAATACTTGAACTCATTGAAAGAAACATTCGCGAGAAGCTATGAAATAATATTAATTTATTATGGAGAATAAAACATTACTACAATATTTTAAGTTACGTAAATAAACACAAAACTAATGGTTACAAGAAAACATTATATAGGTTTTAAAAGATTAAGTGGAGAAATATGAGTATCCGAAAAGAAATATAATAATATGAAGAATGATCATTTAGAAGGAAAGATTTCCAGAGATTAACGTTCGTAATTACATGCGACTCGTTTGATCATTTTCGGAAAAATAACACATCGTTTTCTCATTGCATTCATCACAAGTTTCTATTGACAGAAGTCATTCTAGGAAACCATGGTCAAATAAGAGAAAAAAAGAGACATCTACTCAGATATCTAGCCGAATATTGCATTACTGAAAATGGTACTCACCCAGCACACCTAGCCGGTAGTTAACTGTGACCACGATGACTTTACCGAAGCTGGCTAAGACACTTCCATCGTAGACATTACCACTTCCGGTGTCGTAGGATTCGCCGTGGATGAAAACCATGACGGGCATCGGATCAGTCTGGTTCCATTCTGGTGAGATAAAAAGACATTTCAGTTAAATGCAAGACATACAATATTTATATATAGACAGTAAGAATGAAACTTAAATACACAGTGACAGAATAAATAGTACATATGCCCGAATGTAGAATGATTTAGTTTTAATTGGTTTGGGTTATGATACAATTCGTGTGATAGTCATAGTTCAATCTCCCCACCGAATCATAATCTTTATGACATCAACTTACAATATACGAACAACAAGATGAGCTTTAGCAGATTAAAAAAAAATTATGTTTCATTGCATATATGTGTGTGTGTGTGTGGCTTTGAAAATGGCGAAAGGCATTTTTTAAAAAAGGCACAATTTGTGTCCAAGATTGCTTCATAAAGATTTGTTGGAATGACAATAATCAAAACGCCCAAAAAGAAAAATCTAGACCCGTGGTTTTAATAAAGTGTCACAGCTAAAATAAACTTATTAATAAAACAAACAATTCGGTGTAAGTAAGGCCCTAGTGAGTATAGAGCATTTTTAAAAATTACTCATGAGACACAGAGAACGAGGAATGTTCTCTTTCTGGCTGCACAAAATGTCGATGAAGCTCCATGTGAAAAGTTTCTAAATAATCGAAAATATTATGCGATCTTGTCTTGTGCAGAACACTAAACGCTGTTTCGGATATTCGGAAGCGTAACCCGGTTTATTAAATAAGTGAGGTACAATCGGAGACTCACAAACTGACTGAGTCATGTGATTAATTTCAATAGTTCCACACAGTCTTAGATAGGCAGGCGCATGTTCTCAAATACCGGCCCAAACGAATCTTCATGCAGAACTTAGAAAGAATGTGTTCCGTCATTTTCTAAGCCGTATTTAAGTTCTGTGGTACAGAATTATATATCATTTATTCGTAGCAGAAAACAAATATTATCTATAAACAGTTATGAATAAAAATTGCTCATACGTAGATAAAAAATAACATTAAAAAATGGTTAGTTTAAAGAGAGCATTTATCAAGGGAAGTAAGACAGATTAAGTTTATTGGTCATAATATCATAGTATCGTATATAAACAATAATTAGGAACGTAACAAAAGGGTGGAGAATTCGATAGTAGATTACATATAATCAAGGGAGAATTAAAAAATGTAACTGCTTCAGAATTTAGCATTTGAATTTAAGACTTATTTGTATTTCATTGTCCGTCAAATCGAAAATAAATATAACAGTGTACTATATATATATATATATATATATATATATATATATATATATATATATTATATATATATATATATATATATATATATAGACAAATATATAAAATTATCTATACAAACATAAATACATAGATACACAAATATATACATACAAGGGAAAATGTAAATATACACACATAAAAATATATATATATATATATATATATATATATATATATACACAAATATATACATACTTAAACAGACAGGCATAAATATAAATTTTTATATGTATATATATATATATATATATATATATATATACATACAATATATACATACTTAAACAGACAGGCATAAATATAAATATTTACACAAGTATATATATACACACACACACACACGCAAATATAATCATATACATACCTATATATGGAAAGATAACAAAACACAGACATCCGCACACACACACACACACATATAACTACATACACACATATACACGGACATACATATACAAATGCATACACACACATATACACGGACACGCATATACAAATGCATACACACATATACACGGACACACATATACAAATGCCTTACACACACATATACACGGACACACATATACAAATGCCTTACACACACACATATACACAGACACACATATACAAATGCATACACGCACATATACACGGACACATATACAAATGCATACACACACATATACACGGACACACATATACAAATGCATACACACACATATACACGGACACACATATACAAATGCATACACACTTATACACGGACATACATATACAAATGCATACACACACATATACACGGACACACATACAAATGCATACACACACATATACATGTACGGACACACACATATACAAATGCATACACACACATATACACGGACATACATATACAAATGCATACACACACATATACACGGACACACATATACAAATGTACGGACACACATATACAAATGCATACACACACATATACACGGACATACATATACAAATGCATACACACACATATACACGGACACACATATGCAAATGCATACACACACATATACAAACACATATACAAATGCATATACACGGACACACATATACAAATGCATACACACACATATACACGGACACACATATGCAAATGCATACACACACATATACACGGACACACATATACAAATGCATACACACACATATACACGGACACACATATACAAAATACACACACATATACACGGACACACATATGCAAATGCATACACACACATATACACGGACACACATATACAAATGCATATACACGGACACACATATACAAATGCATACACACATATACACGGACACACATATACAAATGCATACACACACATATACACGGACACACATATACAAATGCATACACACACATATACACGGACACACATATACAAATGCATACACACACATATACACGGACACACATATACAAATGCATACACACACATATATATATATATATATATATATATATATATATATAAATGCATATACATAGATTGTATATTTCTTTAAGTATTCTTTCTCGCTAGAACAATTATGACTCAGTAATATCTTGGATCAGTACTACTGCCCCTTATTTAGACCTTGTGCCATATTCAATATACTCTTATATCAGATGTACACACATAATATATGATTGTGTTATATAACTCATACATACACACAGTAAAATACCCTCAGATATTGCTGTCCATTTACATTAAGACAAAGTAACGCACACACAAATAAATATTTTTCGTACATATTAAATTACATTTCATTGCAACTCGTCATATGGTTTTGCTATTAATATTTCGGACTCTTGCTTTTTATTACGTCGTAGAACCGCATCATTAACTTACGATCTGCGATTTCTATTCAGCGTCGGTTACCGTCGCATAGAAATCTTCTATGTTAACATAACAAATGTTATGTTCAATAGACAATATCTTTGTTAAAATTGCCGAATAACCACTCTGAATATGTCGTTTGTGAGCCAATGCTGAGATCAGAGAAAAAATTAATGAAGTTACATCGAAATTTTGAAAAATTTTGGGCTTATTTTCAATCGAAATTAAAGCAAACATCCGAACATTAAAACTGCTCATGATTAGATATAATACACATTCTTAATATTTTTAATATTTATCATGTATATATATATATATATATATATATATATATATATATATATATATATATATATATATATATAAATAAAATATACACCTCTGGGAAGTGTGTCTATTATAAGGATGAAATAAATTAGCTACATCTATATAAATGAACGTATTATTCTTCTTGTTTATCTATACATGAAAGGTTTCCCAAATTTCATGTTTATCTCTCAGAATTTCCAAGCTTGTAAATAGATTGCGAGGTAACGAACGAGATAAAAGTATATCCCCTTATTCTTAAACCAATATTTTTTTTTTATTTTTTACGCTTCTGTTTTGTAATTAAATATATTTTCAGTTTTTTTGGGTGTTTTTTTCTAAAAGAAAGTCACAATTTCTATGAATGTTTGAGTGAAATTGAAATTTATTGCTAAAATATTTTACATATTCGAAGCACCTAAAGCATTTTAAAATTTTAGAAGCTTTAACTGGAAACATCATACATTATTCAGAATTTATCTTTCTCAAAGAATGTTTTCTTCTCATAGATGTACTGTTTTCACAAATGTCTGAATTCTCAGAGCAAGTTATTAATATCTGCTTTATCGAAATATTCTTTGTTCACTAATATATCGTATTTAGCCCATATGTCGCGCATTACGTTATCTGAATTCACAACATCACCTGAAGTCTTTACGAAATAAATTAATTCTGACTCTGTAATAAGTAAATAAAAATATACATTATTTTCCGGTGCCAATCTCTAATCTATGTCCGTCCAAAGCACATCGTCATGATATAAATCAATTCTATGAGAAATAGATCTATGAATATATCACCGCAGTTCAGTGAGCATGTTTTTTGCATAAATTATGTGGCAGGTATATGTACAATTTAATTAATTTGTCATTAAAGTAAAAAGAACATCTAACAAAATCTAATACTTTTTAATTATCAAACTTTCGTCTCTTATTTACACAGTTGAGATTGATCTAGAAATAAACGTAAATAATGGGGCCATCAATGATGTTCATGCTTAAGAAATCACCTACCTATTAGTAGTTAATGATCATATTCAATAAGTCATCATCTAGTTATATTTTATTCCAACAAATAATTTATAGTGAATATCATAGTGAAAACTAAATTATACAAGGAAACTATATAATATGTAATATAATTAAAAGAAACCATATCACGCTACTTAAATACCCATGTATCCCAAGAGTTTTCTTAATAAGAGATCCTGTCGAAAAGTGCCATTAAATGACCTCAGAGTCACTAAAGTAATCAAAATTAACCAGTTATATTATTTTCTGTAGCTTCCGTTCATCCATCCGTACGTCACGACCTCTAAAATTGTAATACATTGTCCGATCATATTCAAATTTTGGAGAGAAGTGCAAACAGGTAAGTGTGTACAAATACTGTTGGTTTTAATAAGGTGCGTACATTAGTATAATAAACTGATTTTAAAAACTAAATTCTATCAATATTTTAAATAACAATTTAATGTTTAAAATAATAAATATTTATTCAATAAAAATACAGTATTATTTGTTGCTCATCTTTTCTTTAACTTTTTAAATGTACAAGAATCCAGTTTTCAGTTCTCACTGCGTCTGCGTGTATTAGAAA